GTTCAGTCCATTGTGCTTTTTAGGCTTAAAAGAGGTATCTCAAAGGCAGAGAATGAGTTCAATATAAATCAGTTCATTTTTATTCTTTTTCCTAAAATTCTTGGGAGTCAAATTTTGGATAACAAAGCCATCACGAAATTAGGTTTGAGGGTTATTTGTGAATTTCCAACATACCTGCCCCCTCCTGACTTCCAACATGGTTATTCAGAGTAAGTTACACTTTGGAAATGTTCATTCTGCATCTCATCCTAATAATAGAAACCAATTGAGTCACATAGAATTATAGTACCTTAGTAGAGCAATTATTAAGAATTTAATATCTTGTGATAGATAAGTTTTATTGTTGAGGAACTTCAAATCCCTAATCTAATTTCACTTAAAAAATACTTTTAGAAATCAAGTTATATCAACACCTATTTATTGAGCACCTACTTTTACAGAGCTTTGTGAAAGATGCAATCAATAATATTTTCAGAATTACTTGAACTTATACAAATGATTCTCTTTTTTATATTTGTATAAGTCTAGCTATTTTACAGAGATGAAATCTTCATAAATAGAGGTTTTTCTTTTAACAGAAAGGAAAGAAATACAGTGGGAGAAACTAAAAGCCTGAGTCTATTTTTATAAAGTATAGAATCATAGAATTTTAGGTCAGGATAAAATCTTAAACTATTATGATTATTTATTTGATTTTACCAGAACTATACATATTACATGCAAATGCAAAGTTAACTGATCATCTATTCATTTAATTTTACTGATGTAAATATGACCAGGCATTACTTAGTTGGCCCTAAGTTAATGTTAATTCACAATTTTTTCTCTAAATATATTTTGCTTAAAATGGTAAGAAGCATGTATCTAGAAGTTCTGAATTTGGGGCTTCTTCTTTTTAATAGATTTGACATATTATTTAGATATTAATGAATGCATTTCTAGAAACCAACCTGGGCTTTCCAATTCGGGTTTTGCTTAGCACCATTTCACAGTGGCATTTATCATATCCTGCCTTGTGTAAGTTGACTCCCCAATTAGAATATGATGCCCATGAGAGCAAGAATCATGCTTCTTCACATTCAGTCCAACATAGTTCCTAACTCAGTGCTTTCTACCTAGGTGCAGTTTAAAAATATTGGTGGGAAGGAAAAAGGAAAAATAATAGTAAGCTAAAACTTTGAGGTGTTAGTTTTTTTTTAATTTAATTTTAATTTAAAACATGGTTTTTTTAAATGTATTTAAATTCAACTTAGTTAACATATAGTGTATTATTAGTTTCAGAGGTAGAATTTAGTGTTTCATCAGTTGCATATAACACCCAGTACTCATTGATAAAACGTGTTTTTTATGTGTTTCTTCAAACACACAAAACTGATTTCCTAGCTTTGATTGACATAACCAACCTACTCAATCAGATTACTTGTTTAAGAGAATATAGTTGCTCTCCCGTGACTTAATGACTCCATTTGTAACTCAGGAGTGGTAGAAAGAGCGTGGACTTTGGCACGGGAATTCTAAATCAGCTGCCTACTAGCTTTGTAATGTTGGCCAGGCTACCCATTTTCTCAAGCCGCATCTTCTCCTTTGTGAAAGAGGACTGGTAATACTTAGATTCCTGGTTTATTGTGAAAAGAGAATAGTTTTGAATAACTATCCTGCTTGCTCCTTATTCAGAGTGGGATCATGAGTAATTAATCTAATTTTCAGATTTCCTGTTATTTAATAAACATTAATTAAATCATTCAACAAATATCATTGAGCATTCACTAAGAAACAGATACTACACACACACACACACACACACACGCACACATTAAATGCTAAAATCTAGTTCTACGTTAAATAAAGTACAGGAGGCTAGACAGCACAAAGACAAATAGGGGGCTTATTTCCACCCTGTGAGTAAAGAGAGATGTCCTGGTGGAGAAGATGAATGAACAAGACCTGAAACAGGAATAAATGTTGCCACATGAACAATGTTTAGAGAGGAATTTCTAGAGAAGGGGAGAAAATAAAAGCAAGGGGGTATGGTTTACATGGGAATGCCCCAAAAGCAGGTTCCTATATTTGAGTTTGGAAAGTACCCAAGTGGGCACCAGTCTCAGTCAGAAGAGTGTGCAACTCTGCATCTTGGGATCATGGGTTCGAGCCCCACATTGGGTGTAGAGATTACTAGAACATACCCAAGAATGGGTAAGAATGATAGTAAGAATAGGTCCAGGCCAGAGCAAGCTTCAAAGTATTTTATAGACACTCTGAAAGGTGTGAAACAAGGAAGTGACATAGATAGAATGCATTGTAGAAATTATTATAGCTAAAATGTGTAGAATCTATTCAAGAAGTAAAATGGAGGCATTACTAGAGAAAAGGACCAATTAGAAGGCTGTGGCATTCATCCAGGTAGAAATGATGCTCTGAATGATATAGTTGTAGTAGTAATAGGAACATGTTTGAGAAATATTTAGAACATAAGATAGGTAACACTACTTGGTTGTGACGTTGAGGGAGAAGGAAGAACCAAGGTGGATATTCAGGTCTCTGGATGTTAACCAAAGCTCTGAAGCTAGGAGGAAAAAAGTGGGTTTTGAGGAGGGAACAAATAATAAATTCAGTTTAAAATATGTTGGATTTGAGATTGCAGGCAGACGTGTCCGGAAAGCAAATGGATAAGTGAGCTTAGAGAGATAAGAGCTGATGATAAAGATTGAGATATCTACAAAATATTGCCTACCTTTCAAATGAAGCTAAGGATTAAGTTAGATAATGTATGTAAAGGGCCTAATGTTACAAAGCACTATAAATAAAATAAATCAGATGCATATTTAGGTACCTCATTCAATAAATGTACTACCTCTCTTATCCTGGGCAAAATTATCAAACCAATCTCTTTATTTAGGTAGAGCCTGAAGTTAAAGTGACAGCTTAACTTAAACAACCTCCCTCTACGTTTTAAAGAAAGCTTAATAAGCTGTCAATCTTCCAGTTATTTCTTCTCTAATCACTAAACTCTTAAGGAATTGGCTTAATGGACGATCCTTCCCCTGCTATAACCAGTCAACCAGTCCTCTTGCTACTTTGTTAAATGCCTCCTGGTATAAAGGACCCTGCCAAATTCTGGTAAAATCTGTCCTAACATAAGGGCTTTGACTTAGGAAATATAATTTTTTTAAAGACTTAATTTATTTATTTATTTGAGAGAGAGAGAGAGAGAGAGAACAAGCACATGAGCGGGGGGAGGGGCAGAGGGAGAGGGACAAGCAGACTCCCAGATGCCGGGGATGGATCCCAGGACCCTGAGATCATGACCCGAGCAAAAGTCAGAGGCTTAACCAACTGAACCACCCAGGCACCCCAAAAATAAACTTTTTAAATCTACCAATATAAAAGTGAAATAATACAATTGAGAATGCATTCCTTCAACATTCAGTTCCAACTAGGGATGCAAATCCTGACAACCTTGTGGAAGATGGAAAAGATGGGGAAAGATGGAAGGAGTAGTAACTGTTCCTTCTCTCATTTCAGTCTCCACAAAGCTCCCTCTCCAAGATTATAGAAAGTTACCACCCATCCAGAGAGAGCAGAACATCAGGTGTTTCCTTCCTTCCACCCTCCCACCCTCCCTCCCTTCTTTCTACTCTATGCCTAATGTGGGGCTTGAACTCACTACCCAGATATCAAGAGCCACGCACTCTATGGACTGAGCCAGCCAGGTGCCCCAGGTGTCCCTCTAAACCACTTCTAAAGGACTCTACCCATCTAATCTTTTAAAACTGACCTGCGCAATCAAGAAAACCTTACTTTTAACGCTAATTTCTAACTATGGATATCTTAAAAATATAATTAAGAAAACAGTATCTCCAAACTTTTGACTTACACTGATGAATTCTTAAAATTCTTTTTTGTTATGTTCAAAATTTAAGTTGGATCAGCTGTATACTTCACATCTACCATGCCATAATATTTGAGAATTAAACTGACTTATTGCCACAACCTGATTATAGAAACACTTAGTCCATAGTCTGTTGAGTCATGATTGTTCCTAGGATGCAAAGAAGCCTTGTCTTTCAAAGGTGAGGCTTATTCAGTTCGTTCTTTATATCAAGTAGAATCATCTGGATTATACTTTCTTTCCTTACAGTCAAACTACCCCTGAAAACTAAGCTGTAAGTAGCACTATGTTTTCTAGTCTGCATATGCACATTTGCATTAGAAGAAAAAGCCTTTCATGAGATCGATAAAAGTCCCCAAATATATACCACTAATTTTCTAGGTATAAAATCTGATTTGGATTCTAGCTTCAAATCATTCAAATCAAAATTCCATAGTGAAAAATGTTGGGCAAATTACCTATTAGAGCCATATTTTGTGAACTGTTGAATTTATGGACAACATATTTTCTGCAAATATCACACTTTAATTTTCCTAGTGCTTATACAATGCCATAGAAAAGGTCCTGTTTATGGTCCCTTGGTTCTCTCAGGAGAAAAAGAAAGAGAACTAATTTTCCTTATGATGAAATGGAAGAATTCCTCCTTGAGAACAGTAAGCAGGCCATGAAAACCCCTGTCTGCACAGATATGAAGGATGTGCTAATACAGAATTCCGTGACCTATTTCCCTCTTTGCTGCAATTTAAAATAAGTAACAAGGGAGGAAGAAATGAGAGTTCCCATTATAGCTGAACGAATATAATTTATATATTAGGAATTTATTGACTATAAAATTTAGGAAACTTTTGGAGTTAATACTCAGGAAGTGGTATTATGACCCTGTCTGGAAAAATTAAGAAAAAGATTCCAAAAGCCAGAAGAAAGCCTTCTAACACCTCTCTCAAAGCTGCTTGAGCTACGTGATCTTACGTTTGAGTCACTAAGCATTCAGTCAATCCAACCAGTTTCACTCACCTAGCTCACCCACAAGTTAATGACTCCAAATCAGTCAAGATTTCTATGTTCTTTTATCTTTTAGATTCTGATTCAAATACAAACATTCTCCTTTTGCCTTCCTACAGTTTTGCACGAAGCACATCATACCTCTCCCAGCCTGTAACCAGTATCGTCTTCTTAAGAACCAGGATCTGTGAAATATCCACAGCTCCTTCTCTCCCAACATTTAATATGTGGTGACAGTATCCACTGAAGTCCCATACCTTTAAGAGAAAAACTTAGTCACCTTTGAGACAAGAACAGAAAATGCCTTCTTCACTGAGTAAAATATCACAGTGTAATAGGATTATTTTAAACTTTTGTGTTTATATTCTGGACAAGAGCTGATTCACTTAGCATGTACCATAATTAAGAAAATCCTCTCACCATTTAAATTTACCCATTATTTTTTGTTTGTAATAATCCTATTACACTGTGTGATTTTACTCAATGAAGAAGACATTTATATTACTCAATAGCCTAAATCAGCTATTATTAGAATAGATCAGGTTACAAGTAGAATAACCAAAAATAATGGGTAAATTTAAATGGTGAGAGGATTTTCTTAATTATGACATACCCTAATTATATACACTCATATAAAGGCTTTAAATGAGTATGCATTTTTAAAGGGAAGACTATAAAATCATGCAGAGCCACATTTTGGAGTCTGTTGAAACCCTGGTTCTTTCTCTAAGTGTTTGTCTCTAAATTTCAGTTTCCTCATTTATGACACGGGACACTTACTGCTCTGGGACATTTGGAGGATTAAACATCTAATACAGAGCCTGAAACACAGTCCTTATGGATAGGTTTCCCATCTTCTCCCAGTAAAATATCCTGTTGATAGTGGATGCCAGATCCCATCCTACAGAGACACAAGCACTTTGAGTTTACTTCCTCAGGCAGGTGGTGAGGACACAGGCCCAATGGGTGAACTTTACAACAGAGCATCATCAGATCACTAAAACTAAGCCCTGCCATGAAACATCGTTGGTGTATCATCTACAAAGAGCAAGTGGGCACTATCGAAATTAAATTGCATATACCCTTTGACTAGACTCGCTTGACTTTCAACTTCTAGAAAAATCATCTCACAGAGGCACTTACATGTGTGAAAAGACATATTTTGAATATTTTTATATTCTTGAAGCAGTTTATAAAGCTAAATACCTGAATCAACCCAGCTGCTCATTAACAAGGGACTCAACAGTCAGAATATGGAATACCTATACTGTAGCTTACAATGGAACCGTTAAGAAGAATATGTCATTTCTATATTTCTAAGCTCAGTCAAAACTGGACCAGCTATGGAACCTTAAGCAATTTGCTTTATTTCCTTGGGTTTTAGTTTCCTCCTCTGTAAAATTGGCATATAGATATATATGTGGGGGGATGTGGGGGGGTGTGCATTTGTGTGTTTGTATGTGTCAAGTGCTTAAAACAGTACCAGGTTCTTAGTGAGCATGCAATAAAAGTTAGCTAACATTATTATTATTGTATGCATTCATATGACTCAATGTCCACAATAGAAAAATGCAAAACGCAGAACAACATATCTATCAGGCTGCCCTTAAGAAACAGATGCTGCCCTTTGGCTAGAAGGATGCACAAGAAACCAGTTAACAGTGGTAGAGCTACAAGGGAGGAGCTGTGAGCAGAGGTGAGAAAGAAACTCTTCTCACTGTGTAACTCTGATATTTCAAATTTTATTGTATGATTACATTAATTATTCAAAACACTAATCAATTAAAAATCAGATACCTCAAAACCATGATAAATAGGGCAATACTTTTAAATCTTGGATGACATAGGTACTGGTTTTGGATCCTAAATTATAAATGATTAGAAAATGTCATTCATTCTTGTCTCTTCATAGAACATGAACAGCTCAACCCAGGTTTATACATCTTACACAGAGGTTGCCAAATTTCAGAATTCTGTTGTGCTATTATGATAAAGACAAATATACCTTCAAAAGCTGTGATTATACTACTAAATTCACATTAACTTCGACGATGCGAAGCTTGAGATGTTGAAGAGTGCACATGCTCTTTACCCATGTCACTTCATTTTCCTCTAAACGTGGCCCTTAGCAAACCCACCTAAAATAATACCCACAAATAGGTACTGTAAAGATCTGATTGTCCCCAGGTCCAACTAAGTCCCTTAGCTGGGACTATCTGCAAGCTTTTAGCAACCATCTGCAAGTCTGCCCTACTCTGGATTCTATAACCGGTTACTTTCCAAGAAAGGGGTAAAAGGAACCTAGTCTACTCATCTCATTTCTCAGTTCAGTCTCATGCCCCAGGACCATAAGTGGGATACTCACTTGCTCCTTTTCCCTAAGTCTGTCTAAAACTCCAGTTCCAGTTATTCCTGTTTTATTCCACCTTGACTACTGGGGTTGGAATTGTCCCGTCACCTTCATACATCTTACCAGTTCTGTAAACTACATTACTTAAACCCAAGCTCCCAGTTCTTACCTCATGCCATTTAATCTTCCCAGAGGCCCAGCTCTGTTGATTTCCAGAGATTTTTCACTGCAACCTGCCATAGCACCTCCTTCACACTGACAGTGGCCAGCCTGGCATCCCCCTAAATTCTTGCCTCCAACTTCCATCATGTTCTACCCACATATCCAGAGAACTTTCCATTACCCTCCCTTGCAGCCTACCAGCATGCATCATACACCCCACCATGGAAGGCATACCTCGTTAATACCCTCTGATTCTAGTTATGACAGAAGTTTGAGAATCATTCAAAGCTTATTCTGGGAAACTGCCTTCTGTTGCCTTAAAGTGTCACAAGCCATCTCCAATCAAAGACTGTCATTAGTCTCAGAGCTGAGGGGAGCAGAGAGGATTCTCTGGTAGGCATGATTTCAGATAGCAAGTATCTAAGCTTTGCATGAAAATTTGATCATTTTTGCAAAGCATAATAGCACCTTTCTCCCAGAATAAATAGGTAATAGTTACAAAACAAGAAAAGTGGAGTATTAAATACCATTAGTTTAGGATAATAAATAAGATGATGATTGTTCTGCTTACGATCCTTCTTTACTGTCTCGCTTTCCTTCACATAAAAGTCCAAATTATAACATGGGTTGATTTTAAAATATTCATTTGCCCCCAAATTTGAACCTGCCATCTTAAAAAGTTTTCTTGGTTGCCCTGATTTCTCATTTTATAAACTAAGAAGAAAACCAGAGATATTAGCTGAAGCATAGGAAAATTATTCGGACTTCTTATTCCCCAAAGTAGTCCTCGATCCAGAATACTGGAAAAGGCTTTCTGACATAAGTAAGCTAAATTGTGTTTTTATTCTAAATAATTTATTCAGAAAAATCATTTATTCATTTTTCCACAAAAGCTTTTTTTTTTTTCCTGACAGATTGTTATTAGATGCTGTGAGTTATTTAACTCTTCTGATCTCATCTTTCCTCTTGCATGGGCAAAAAGGCAAAAACAAATATAGCTATAGCTATGTTTCCTCACATAGTATTTCAGCTTCCTCGTATCTGGGTAGAAAAGCATCACTGCGTCCTCACCTTTATGGTCCCATCTGTGCTGCCAGTCAAAAGCCGTGTCTCATTTGCATCAAGGGCCATAGTGCTGATTTCTGCGTTGCCATGGCAACCAGTAAACTGTTTGATTTTTTGCCCAGTGTCTATCATCCAGAAGGAAACAGTAGACCCCACGTCCGAGCTGATTACCTAAGAAAAAATAACCTTGTAAAGAAATTAAATATAGCCCCAGAATCCACCATTTTTATTTCAATAAAAATACCTAACCTGTGAATTTCCATGGACTGAGATCCCTCCCCACCCCACAATAGTTAGAGACATGTTTGTGATGTATGTTCTTTCTTTTTGTTAAGCTGATAACATTTCAATTCTTCAGCCAGAATGGAAGTAATGAAGGCATGATTCTCTTTACCAGCAAAGATAGGAATCTACTTCCCTTATCCACCATTCAGCTGGCTGTCTAGAGGTCATCCTGAAATTGAATCGTACTGAAAAGAAACTTAAAAATCTACTGCATTTAGATGAGAAAGTTGATTTTATTAGTCACGGTGTTCTGACACTATTTACTATATGAAAAGAAGCATCTTACTGTATTTCACCTTCCCTTTAGCATGCAGAAGAGAAAGCACTACCAGACATTATGGGAAAATAAGTTAATTTTAACAAACCTATAGAGCTATCACTTTCTTTCTTTTTTTTTTAAGATTTTTGTTTTTATTTATTTGTTTGACAGAGAGAGACACAGCGAGAGAGGGAACACAAGCAGGGGGAGTGGGAGAGGGAGAAGCAGGCTTCCCGCGGAGCAGGGAGCCCGATGTGGGGCTCGATCCCAGGACCCTGGGATCATGACCTGAGCAGAAGGCAGATGCTTAATGACTGAGCCACCCAGGCGCCCTTGAGCTATCACTTTCAATGCCATTAGTCCCTTTCTTCCTCCTCTCTCAAGGTGCTGTATATATTTTTACAGCTAAACACAATTATTGATAGGCCACTAAAAACAAAGAACACAGGAAGGGTAAATATAAATCTGCATATATACTCCAAGAGGAAAGCAACAAAACAAACGCTAGAAGGGATAGGATTATATATAGTAGCCCGACAGTGAGAAATTTTATGGTGGCAAATAAACTGCTAATTTCAGCTCTAGGTATTTAGGCACCCTTTGGAAAGTTAAAATCACCTCATCCATTTGACCTCCGGACCCAAAAGAATGAAAAGCAAACAGACAAAAACACTGAACCCACAAATAAGTAGATAGGAAATTGCCTGAGGCAACATCTAGACTTTGAGAAAACTTAAATCATGACTTTATCTGCATAGGTATGGATTACCATCATATAAATGTAAATTTATCAATAATACTCTAATTTGGGCATCGCATTTTTGTAATCAAATGGGTTCAGGTTTACTGAATGCATATTCAGAAGGCCCGGAGAGTCAGCCATCATGCGTGCATGCATTCATTTGGTTTTGGGGCACGCACTGAACGTCCACTCCATGCCCAGCTCCGTGATGGCAGCAGAGATTCACTAATGAATCCCTGCTCTGAAGGAATCTATACTCCAGGCTTGAATATTAAAATCACCTGGGGAACCTTATAAACCATGACTGTATACCAGGTCAGAGACTCTCATTTAACTGAACTAAGAAGAAGCATTTTTTAATGAGCTGCCCAGGTTACTTAAGTCTGCAGCCTGGGTTGAGAACTATCGGTCTAGGTAAGGAAACAGACAAGAAACAGGTAAGTAAGTGCCAAACAGTACTACAAGTTTGGAGGCCTCACCCCTAGTTGCGGCAGGGGCACAGAGAGTAATATCCAAAATCTTCTGACTGGGATGGGGGATGGGAAATGAAAGGTAAGGAGGGCCAATCTGCAATTGAAGATAGGAACATGTATTTATTAGATGCCAAGGCCTTTACACTCACTATCTCACTTATCTTTATAAAAACCCTGTAAAATAAATAACGTTATCACCCTCATTCTACCAGTGATGAAACTGAGATTCTAATCAGCTAAGCACTGTTCCCAAGCTTATATAACGAGGTTTGAATCATGGACTTCCTATGACAGACACATCATACGGCCTTCTATATTCCAGCATAGTCTTCCCAGATAATTAAGAGTGTGCTTAGGAGAACTAAGCAAGAGAAACAATATGAAGTGTAATGGAACCAGAGTGCGGATGATGAGGTAAACGGTGGAATGCCAGGTGAGGCAGCAAGCTGGTGACAGATAGTGGAATCCCTGAAGAGCAATACTAGAGATCTTAACTAAAGAGAACAGACTGATGGTTACCAGAGGGGAGGTGGGTGGAGGGATGGGTGAAATAGGTGATGGGGATTAAGGAGGGCACTTGTGATGAGCACCAGGCGATATATCGAAGTGCTGAATCACTATATTGTACACCTGAAACTAATATCATGCTGTATGTGAAGTAACTGGAATTAAAATGTAAAAAAAGAGCAATGTTAGAGAATAACGAGTCATGTGTATAAGGTTCTTACTGGGACAGGGAGCTTAGCTTTCATTGGATAGGCAGCAGAGTGTATGACTCGTTCACGGCAATAATTGTTCTTGATGAGGAGGGCGACACAGCATTTTTTGTTCATGGGTTAGTGAAGGTACTCGTGGCAGTGGTGTGGAGAACAAACTGGGGTTGTAGGAAGACCATTTGGGGGCAGCTGTGATAGTCCAGGTAAGACATGTTCACCTGAAAGAGGAGTTCAGCAGTAAAAAAGAGAGGAGAGACTGGGAAATAAGAGAGCCACAATTTTGCCATATTTATGCTCAGCAAAGTGCTGATTGTGAGCACATGATCTCTTGTGGCCTTTTTTTCCCTGAAATTACAACTCTGAATCCAACAACTTCTTAAATGATGTAAAACTCTATATACGTTACACATTTTCTCTCCTGAAATCAAAAGTAGCTTAAATATATTTAATTACCATTGTTCAACAATAGTATAATTTCTAGGACAAAACAGCCTGAATCTTGAAATAATATGCCCTATCTCTTCAATTATCACCTCAGGTAACTGACTGTGTTTCTATTTGCTTTGATTTCTGCAACATGCCTGATAGTTAAGAGCACTGAGTTTGAAGCCAGGATGCGTGAGTTTGAAGGTCAGTTGTCTGACCTTGCGCTCATTGCTTAATGTCTCTAAGCTTCAGTTTCCTCCCCTACGAACGAGAGAGAATCAATAACTACTTCAAACCATTTTTAAGAGGTTTAAATAAGCTAATATTTGTAAAGCACAGTGCATGGTATACAATAAATAAGCCATAAAAGTTAACTAGTGTTACTATTCTATTTAAGCTTTATTTGTCTGACTCTCTATTTTGGGTGATACCACTTTTCATAGCCAAACCAATTTAAGAAAAATATTTCATATCTTGCTTTCTTTCCACCATGACAGCGAATGTAGACAATTATAATTTTAGAAAGCAGATTGTAGATGTACATTGAAATTTCAAATTATATCAGACTCGTGAATTTCTCACATAATTACTTAGGAATTTGCATTGTATTCATTAAAAACAAAACCGTGGAAACATAATTTTCCAAGCATGAGTGAAAATTTTGATGGTGTTTTTTTAAAAAAAGGTTAAAGGTTGTGAAGAGTTTTACTATTTCTATTCAAAAAATATTTATTGAGAACTTATGTTAGGCATTTCAGTACTAAAAGATGGGCATTCCCTGATAAAAACAAACAACAACAAAAGGCAAAGTACAATGAGACCAATGTTCAAGGAAAAGACTTGTTTACTTGTCCGAGACTGGATTGCCCACATTACAAAGCATCTAATCATCGACTGCCCCACTTTTATCTACTGTAGACATTCAATCAGGAATTAGTAACTTTCATATTTTGCTGCTTTGCAGCAAAATTCTCCCTCTTTTGATCACTTGGCTGAGCCCGAACATGCTATTCATCAGTTTTTAGCACCTTTCTCTGTTCATTTCACAATTTCTCATGAAATCTGAATCAGTAATGACAACAGTATAGAGTCAGTCGGATTTCATTTTATAGCAATCTACCTTAAGGTGCAGTCTTCGGGAAAAGTGTGTTGAAAAACAAGGACTGACCATGTCACAAACATACCACCAGTACAAACCAGACTTCTGTCACTATGACAATATCAGAATACAGGAATAGCAAGGCAGGTGAAAAGACTTTCAAAGTTTGATGAGAGAGGAGTGCATTTAACATCACTTGGCAGGTGAGGGAAATGGTTTGACTACAGGGCAGTGGGGACTTTATTTTTAGCAAGCTGTGATTTTTCTCAGGAATAGAGCCCAGGAATGAGTATTGGCACCATATTTATATGCCAGATTTTGACGAGACCAAATCTCCAAGTTATCGGTTCATTCCTGGCTGCTTCTTTTTTTTTTTTTTCTTAAAGATTTTATTTATTTATTTGACAGAGAGAGACACAGTGAAAGAGGGAACACAAGCAGGGGGAGTGGCAGAGGGAGAAGCAGGCTTCCCGCCGAGCAGGGAACCCGATGCGGGGCTCGATCCCAGGACCTGGGACCATGACCTGAGCCGAAGGCAGACGCTTAACGACTGAGCCACCCAGGCGCCCCTTCCTGGCTGCTTCTTACCAGGTGAGACCTCAGATGAGGATGAGGATAGGGCCCCGGCGGTCTGCAGAGTAGAAGTGACACTACCCTAATCATTCCAGTGCAAGTGGGCCTCGGGAGCAAACCGTTGTTCTCCACCTTATATACCCAAGTTAATAACCATTTAGGATTATACGGGTCTTCTTGTCTCTCTCACCTGAAGGTGTCACAGCCAATGACACAAGTCTAAGAGATGTGAGACTGTACCCACATGCCCTAATTGTCTTCTTGTAGTCCAACAACAGTAAGTATTTTAGTCGTCTTTAAATGCATTCTAAGTCCTAGGTCTAAGCAAGAAGGGAAATTAAAAATTATAGCAGCGGAAGTCACTGGCTACCAAGGGATGAGGACATTTGATTTAATTGCTGTTTATAGTTCTATTTTCTAGTCAGTACTCTTTGTGGCCTCATAATATAAAGCAGGTTACCTATTTTATTTCTATTGTGCATCATATCTCCAGAAGTTACATTTCATTAAGTAGTGAGATGAGGGGAATGATAATATCTAAGTACTGGTGCAGAAAAAGTATTCAAATATTTTAAGGCAGCCATTCTCCATTTATAAA